CACAAAGCAGCAATAGAGAACACGTCCTCCCTTCTCGCTAACTGATCCTATTGCTGATCATGTGATTCATTCCGTCTGAGAAACCCGCTTAAACATTTTGCGACTAGATCTCGGTGAAATAACTTTTGGTAAAACTCCACGAGTGACTCCGAAAAAACCATAACCGGAAAATCAAAAACTAAGCGGAAAGGTTTCTCGAAAAATCTGCGGAAACATTGTTAACCCAATGCGTCGTGCCGATTTACTAAATTCATCGCCCGTTGCTTACGCGAGAAATCCTTCGTATAGTCAGGATCATGTCATAACAAAGTAACTTTCAAAGTAAACGTAACAGGTTTTGCGAAAAGTACTTTCCTTATAGCGAAAACCAAGCTATACGATCCGGCACTGGGCGGCCAATCTAAAATTTTCTTCCTCGCGCCACGATCTAAAAGATCTCACTCTTTAGCCCTTTGGTTCACGAGCATCCGCTCTCATTCCTCCCGATTACATTCCAGAATGAAACCGCCCCGCAAACGACTCCGCACGAGCTCTAGATCGAGCTTCTTAGGCTCTGTCTCCCTCGAGTAAAAAAAATAAAAAATAAAAAAAACTTCCATACAGAGGAAATTTATACGAAACTTTCATCGTATAAATCAAACCTACAACGGAAAAACGTTTTCTATAATCTCAGGCATACTTGGCATATCAAGCTCGACAAACGCTACTTGGCTATTGTCCGATCACGCTTCACTTCAATGCCAAGTTTACAAACCGACTCGACCTTTCGGATAGCACGAAAGTGTCGTGGTCTAATCCTCTACCAAATATGACCTTGGCTGTGCGGCTGAACACAACCTTCACGCCAAGCCAATACATTCAACGGATAATGAAAACTTGTCGAAAATCGGCTAAGTTCTGTATTCTCGCAATTTACTCTATTTCTGAAGCAAGTTTCCTACAAAATCTGACGTATAAGAAAACACTCGTACCAGAGCTCTTAAAGCCGCACGAATCTTGGAAGGTCAACACTTCACAAAGCACCATAACGAAAAACGCTTCGTTTCGAGGAAACAACTTACGCGACCTCTCGGTCCCAATTGCTCTAGCACAAATCATAAAACTACCTAACATCCAAACAGGAATGTAAGTTTTAATTGCGAATATCCGCAAACAAACCAAAGTGTTCCTGCAAAGCAATGTTTAGACAAAACCCTCGCAACACCGCACAACATCTTCGAGCCTGCAAACGTTCCGAACACGAAACACGGCATATAAAATAAAAACCAACTTTCGGCACTGCGAGACGTCGCAGACGTCCGGAGAATAGTTTTTCAACAAAAATACCTTCCTCGATAAAGTCATTTTCTTGGAAGACCTAACAGTCCGTCCGCGACTATAAAATACGCAAACTTCTTAACATACGTATCCTTCGCGAAGGCCCAAACAACGTAAACATCTATCACCTAAAAAGCTTGTTGCTGATCACAACAAACTCGCAACAGTCCTAAACAAACTTAAGTTATCTCGCAGAGATAGCTCTCGAACACCCGACACAAGGGTAATAGCGCTATAAAAGAAATCCAAACTTTTGGTCAGCACTTCTGGGGAACTTAGAAATTGTTCCCGGTGAGATGCTCGGTTCCAACCAGACGAATAATATAAGCCGAGAACCTATCGCGGATTCTAAATCGGTATGGAATCAGGTTAAAATCGCAACACGCAAAATGAAAGCCGACTAGTCATCGCATAACCTCAATCCGAAAGTAAACTTAGGTCTTGCCCTAAACCCAGCACACTGGTCGCTAACGTCTCAAGGCATGAATCGAGATCCTAAAGGCATGTCTCTTCGTCTATATCTAAACGCTCACTCGATTTGCTAAACATCCTAAAACGAGCAAACGAATAAGGCGATACACTAAGGGAAAGGAATGCGAGATGACAACTCGCGGACCTCCCTCAATATCAACTCATATTCTTCCCGCTACATTCATACGAATAAAAACACGCTCTTAAAAACACAAACTGATTTTTAATAAAGCCGCAAAAGCGGCAGGGACTCAGAGCCGCACACGGCCAGTCCGAAAACTATTACGGCCACGCTCGGCCAGACCAAACGGCCTACGAGGCTAGTCTCAAGGCCGGCAAAGGTCCAGATGCCATCGACATCAATATGCTCGATAATTCCTACACGACATATAACTAGACCGTAAAGGTCTTGCTAGGAAACATGTCATACGAACCTTAACTCCGAAACGAACTACGAAAGACTTGATCCCCTCAAAAGGGTACGTAGACAGCCTTCACAAGGCGCAGCCCTAATCTTAAACGCATTCCGCTTCCCGGAGAATGGAAAGATCACTCTCAACGGACCTTTCTAACCATTAATTCCGCCTAACTTAACTAAAACTGGCTAACCACTCGCAAGAACCTTACGCTAGAAGCTCAAGATTCTAGCGAGCTGGGGGGCTAACTGTTGGTGTCAAAATCGGTCACGACGGAATCAATGGCTAAAAGTCTCCGCAAAACAAAAAAAAATACGTTTTATAAAACTCGAGAGATCGTTTTATAAAACTCGAGAAATCGTTTTATAAAAGAAGATTTCGTTTTATAAAACTCGAGAGATCATTTTATAAAACTCGAGAAATCGTTTAATAAAACTCGAGAAATCGTTTTATAAAAGAAGTTTATGTTTTATAAAAACTCGAGAGATCGTTTTATAGAACTCGAGAAATCGTTTTATAAAACTTGAGAAATCGAGGAATTATTTTATAAAACTCGAGAAGCCGTTTTATAAAACTCGAGAAATCGTTTTATAAACTCGAGAAATCATTTTATAAAACTCGAAGAATCGTTTTATAAAACTCGAGAAGTCATTTTATAAAACTCAAGAATTCGTTTTATAAGACTCAAGAAATCGTTTTATAAAACTCGAGAAATCAATTTATAAAACCCGAAGAATCGTTTTATAAAACTTGAGAAATCGTTTTATAAGACTCGAGAAATCGGTTTATAAAACTCGAAGAAACGTTTTATAAATCTAAAAGAGATTTCCGAACAAAGGTAATCCGCGAAAAACTCGGAAGATCGTTATCTCGGAAAAATGAAACAAACGTCGATTACACGACCGTACGAGATAAGCACAAAACCGCGAAAAACCGAAACTGCCGTAAAACGCGAATTAAGCCCACTGGCTTAGTTCGCCGTTGGGCAAACTAGAAGCTTCCCAAGAGGCGCTGACTTTGCCCCAAAGGTTCTTATCGCCTAGATCGCCATACGGTGACCTGGCCAAGCTGAACTAGCTCGCCGTACGTTGAGTCGACCATCCCGAGCCTCGATCTCCCACATCCTTGATTCAAGGCATACATCCTTCGACACGATCGTATTCTGAATCACGGTCGAAATGTCTCTCGTTTCGTCTCGATCTATCTTATCGTTTGAGTTTTACGATAAAAACCGTAATACTTTGTTTTCTCGAAAAGAACTCGAGGAAATCGTATAAAACGGCAACGGTTAAACGAAACACCGAATATTGCCTAAACTATACGATTTATTTGAGATTTTTCGTAAAAATCGTACAAAAAGCGTTTTCAATAAAACCCCGAGTAAATCGTAGAAAATGGCAACGATTAATCGAAACATCGAACATTGTCTAGCTTTACGATTAACTCGAGAAACTTATAAAAAAACGGCATCGTATCAGGAAACGATCTCGTCTAAAGTCGTAAAACGGATTTATCGCAAAACGGCTTGGAAAGTCCTAAAACGCGATAAAAGCCGCTCACGACTTTAAAACGAAATCTAACCCAAAGATACAACGAATTTTTGGCGATTTACTCGCAGAAAGAAGATAAATGTTAAACTTGAAGATAAATGTCAAGTTTGAGGATAAATAGAAGATTTCCGCGGGAAAAAAAGGAAAGATCAAGATACATGGAAGATTCCCGATAAACTCGAATCTGGGCGAAATGGAAAGACTAAAACCGCCTAGGAAGGGAGTATATAAGCAAGAGGCATAGGGCAGAAGCAAAGGGACGAAATTCAGAGCTCTCATCTGAGACTTTTACAACTTTTCTAGACTTAGAATTTTCCGCACTTAGAAACTTAGGCTTTTTACTCGACAAGTTCGGTTTCTATGACTGGCGCTCAATTACTAGACGAACTCGCCTAGGAGGTTCGATCTCTGGTCCAGCTCTATCAACTGAACTACATTCGACTTGATCCTCGAAAGGGGTACGTAGGCAGCCTTTCATAAGGTTCAGTCCGAAATCAATCAAATCCTTTTTCTTATCTTTTTCCGTCTTTCGTTATCGAGCTACGACTCGACTAGATTTAGGGTTTTATGTTGGTAACTCGCTGATGGCCCTTGCGGCCGAAGCCTTTATAATTCCCTGTAATGATCGCAACGCTCTTACTCGAATCGGAAATAAGATCAATTTTCTCTATAAATTCGTTTTATTACGTTTTTCATATTTTTCCGCATTTATTTGGTTACTTGTCGTTGGTTTTCGCAGAGATCCGGTTCCTCTGGAAAATTAGGATTTTCCGAAGTTTCCTTATTTAACGGAAATCGACAGTAGGTGAATTTCGGTTCCCACAGTTATGCTCATGTACCAGCTGAAAGAAAGAGGATGTGGCTTCGTTCATTTGCTGTAAGGTTTTTTTTTCTCATTTATACATGACTCAATTGTTTATTAATTATGTTGGTTGTGTTTTTTTGCACCAAGATTGGAATTGGGACCCTGCTATCACTAGTAAAGTGCGTACAGACTTTAATATACAGGCTAGTAGTCAATACAAAAGCAACATGACTGAGTGGAAGAAAAAGTGGAGGTTGAAGAAGAATAAACCCACAGGGTCTGGATTTTGATGTATGGCGTGGATTAAAAGCTTATTGGCAACTAGATTCCACTGCATCTATTGCTGAAACCAATTCTCAGAATAGGCGTAGCCATCGTGGTGGAAAAGGTGTCTCAACACATAATTGTGGTGTAAAGACAAGAGAAGAACTCGAGATAGAAATGGTAACCTTTAACATTTAAGTGATAAATAGCTTAGTTTTAACATTAAACTGATAATCCTTTTCATTATATAATTTGTATTGTATGCTAGACTGCTGAAAGGGGTGGTGAGCCAGTAGATTGGTTGGATTTAATGAGGAGGATGCACACCAATAAGACAACTGGTGAGGTGCAAGATCCTGTTGCTAGAGACTTGTTGGAAACTTTGTCTAAATTAAAAGAGGACAAAGAAGCACAACTCCAGTCTCAGATGTGTACTGCTGAGGGATCTACATCTTCTAACATACTGTCCCGAGAAGAAATCAAGCAAATGGTTCTTGAGGTATTAACTATCCCTTTCCATATAGTTTGTAGACTGTCCCGATTATGAGAAGACCATAAATTTTTATCATTAGTCAATAATGGGTTCTTTTTTTTGTTTGTAGAATGTTCCGGTTAAGAATGGTCGCCGCTACGGTTTAGGCCGTCTCTCAGAGGGAATCTCAGCGACCCAACCATCATGTTCTCCCCCACATCTTATTCAGGAGATGGAGCAGCTGAAGACCGATCTTGTTGAAGAGCGGACAATGCGACAGCAGCTGAAGACGGATCTCCTTAAAGAGCAGACGTATCGACAGGCTTTGGAGCATCAACTTCAAAACATTACTGATTTCATGTCTCGGGTTTACACCGACCAATTCTCAGCTTCCAAGCCTGATTCCCAGCCAAACCAGTAATGTATTCCAATGGTTTTTTTTTCTGCTATGTTTTGTTATGACAATGTAAACTAAGTATTTTAATTACTAAACTTGTTTGTATTTTAATTAAGTTTGCCTGATTTATTTTTGATTTTTAAAATTGTTAAATTTAATGAATATTTAATATAAAAATTACGTTTGCAAAAAAAAAAGTTCTGACCAAAACAATCATCAAAAATTTGTAACGGAAGAGGTGGTCGGAATTTTTGACAGATAGTTCCGTCAGAAATTTCTGACGGTAACAAGCGTTGGAATTTCTAACGAACATGTCCGTTAGAATTTCTGACGGAAGAATCCGTTGGAATTTCTGACGGAAGAATCCGTTAGAATTTTTGACGAACATTTCCGTCAGAAGTTTTGACGGAACAGTTTGACGAAACTCCGTCGGAATTTTCTGACCGAAATTAAGTTGTTAAAAATTTGTTGGAAATTTCTACCGATTTCCAAGGGAAAAAAAATTTCTGACGAAATAGAATTAACGAGCATATCCGTCGGAAATTCGTCAGAACAGGTCATTTTCCGACGGTTTTCTGACGGATTAGGCCGTTGAAAATTTCCCTTTTTCTTGTAGTGGTCATATGTATTGTGCATATATATTATGTTATACTATATATCATATTTATTATAGATATAAAATTGAACAACTCAATCATGTCATGGCGTTTTTCAGTATCGAGTGTGTTTACCAACCTGGGTGAAGTTGGAAATGATGATCAAGTCTTGGTCGTTGCTGCCGATGAGGAGTGAAAGACTTCAGCGGGAGGAGCCAAAGACCCTTGGCCAAGGTTAATACCAAGAATGCGCTAAGTAGGCTTATTAGGGATAATATATCCCACATCGAAAAATTAGTGGGACCTTAATTAATACATAAAGATTTATGACCAATCCACTAATTACCAATTCGTTTTAATTTGGAAGCCCATAATAAACCCGGATCTAATATGGTATTAGAGCTCATATCTTAAAAGCCATAAACTCCTAATTAATTAATTAACCCTTTCGACCGGGTATATAGGTCGTGTTTAACCTCCCGACTAGGTATAATTGTCGTACTTGATTCGTTCGATCGAGTATAATTGTCTTAAAGTTCCGAGATTTCTGGCCGATAAGAACCATCATCTCGAGCAGGGATATTAGGGATAATATATCCCACATCGAGAAATCAATGAGACCTTAAGTAATATATAAAGGGTTATAACAAATTCACTAATCACCAATTGGTTTTAAGTTGGAAGCCCATAATAAACCCGAATTTAACAAGATTCCGTTTGTCGTTGTTGTTTGTTTATATATATATATCGTTCATCTCTTGGCTGTAACTTAAAGATTTTTTTTCTTTTTTTGTAACTTAAAGATTTTTGATTGGCTTTAATGTGATTATCCCTTTGTTTAAATCGTCAGATCTAATCTAGGAATCATTAAAGCGCCAATAGTTAGCTTTTAGTCGACTTTAATGTAATCTCGTTACTCGACAAACTGAACTTAGAGATTATTAAAGTGCTTCGGCTTTAGTGTAATCTCGTGTAAGTCTTTCTGTAGACAGACCGAACTTAGATATTATTAAAGTGCATTTTAACTTGCTGTGGCAGTAGTCGGCCAAATATCCGATTAGGATGTAGTTGGTCCATGAACTGGTTGATCCGACTTATTAGTCGTTTAACCTTAGCATGTAATCTGTTAGCCAAGTGTCTGATCATGACATGGTTAACACACCGTCTATTATGCGCATCTGTACGTGAATTTAGACAAGGATCTATGCCTTTCATAGCTTACGTAGATATCCGCGATTCAACGACAGTTAAACATTCTATTCATTCAACTTGTCAAGTGCAATGAGCGTGACATTTTGTACTATCGTTTGGAGGGTGGAGCGAACGTGACAAGTGCAATTGCCGATAGTCAGCTAGAGTGGTTGTAACGTAACCGACAGTTGTTCACTCTGCAAAGGATCAGAGTGGATGCGACATGTATAATTGTCTTTCACTCATTGATATACCATCATTTTTATCCGTTTTTGGTCATGATTTTTTTATGTTTTTATAAGTATTATATCTATGTTTTGGAGTATATTAGTTATGTTTTCAGGTTCAGGAGAATTTTGTAGTAAAATGATGATTTAGGTGCCTTATGGAGCTTAGAGGAAAGTTTTCCAAGATGACTATGAAGATCCGACATTGAGAGACACATATCGATCGATACACACCTTGTGTAATCGATCGATGACGATTCCGTAGAAGTTGAAGTCGAGATACTCCATCGATCGATGTACACCATGTACCATCGATCGATACAGAGCGTGATGAGCAAGATTTACTTGGCCGACTTGAAGCCCAAGTTCTCACCAAATTANATTCCGTAGAAGTTGAAGTCGAGATACTCCATCGATCGATGTACACCATGTACCATCGATCGATACAGAGCGTGATGAGCAAGATTTACTTGGCCGACTTGAAGCCCAAGTTCTCACCAAATTACAAGATTGCCCCTGACGAGTTTTTAACCTAATTGTACTCATATTTATAGTTATGCCTATGAGCCCTAGAAAGACATCATTAGATCAAATAAGAAAGTATTGAGTTTTTATCTAAGTTTTGTATTCTATTTTATACTTAGCAATACAAGTATTTTCTTTTCATCTTATTCTTTTGCTATGAATCTCTTGGCTATGTCTGAGTAGATTCATTTGTTAGATTTAGGGTTCAAATAGTTATGAGGGATTAGCCCCAACTATGGAGTGTTGAGTTGTTATATTCATTATCCAAATGAACACTAATGCTTACTCTAGATTTGCTACCTAGAGTTATGATTATGGAGTGACTAATCTAATAGTCATTATCCTGAAATCAATTGGCTAAGCTCAGACTCTATTAGGCACGTGCGATAGCCCGTCTAATAGAAATTCTTGGGTGAACACAGTTTCAATTCGATCCGATGCAATATCGAGCGATACTCCTATAGAGTCATCGATCGACGGCAACATATATTGATCGACACTGCGATAGCAACATCGATCGATACTGTCGGCAATCAGATCAATGGATGAGTCTAATAGCGACAGCTATAGATTTGTCTAAGGATTGAAGTTCTCATATATTTGCAAGCAATTCGTTAAGACATCCATAGATTTATAATCCTGATTTTGTGAATAGTAACCTTGAATCTAACTACTTTCTTTCATTGTTTTTAAAACCCAAAACCTATTTTCACTACAACAAATATGGTTTTTCATAGCACACGGATAACGCTATTATATGGTATCCATAGCGGTTTTATAAATGCTATGAAATCGACCGCTATAATAGAGTCCCTATATACGATAGCGCTTTCGGAGGACGCTATCGTAGACTAGCCTTTAATAGCGTTTTGCTAATGCTGTGTTACGGTTATTTATTACACACTATTTATGCTATAGGAAATTATATAACAGCTGTATTTTTTGTTGTATTAAACCTATTAATAGCAATTATTTAGTGCTGTTGTAAATTATGTAATAACATTTTTTTGTTGCTATATATTTTTGAAAAATAGCTATATTCTGTAGCCATCAATTACGTTGTCGTAGCCTTAAATTGGTGCTACTTGATGATGTGTTGCAGCAGTGGTATTGAGTTATGTATATATGATTTATAGC